ACTACCCCCATATTGAACATGTTTTTTATATCTTTAAATTTTAAAGTTTAAACAATTGACCAGTAGAAAATTGGATGACACATTTGTTAGGAATAAAGGATAAAGATTATGTTCATGATACTACATAAAACTAATCATTATAGTCATCCTTTGGGGTTCTGTGTATTCTGTATATATTATCGCCATGGTATCTGGAGCCCAATTTCTATTTCTATCCTCATCTCATTTTTGAAAAATCCCCGGCATGTCTACATAATGGTTTTTGACATACAAATTCAATGCTACAGCATCCCTCTTTACCCCTACCCAAAGTGTTAGGTGTGCTGATAGCACATTCAGTACCAGTTTTCCATGACCTGCCCCCATATGAAACTTGCTTTGGTTTCTCCTTGAAAGTTTAAACTAGTGACCATCAGAAACTTGAACGAAACAGTTGGTAGGATTGGGTAGGAATAAAGGATCAAGATTATATTCAGGATACTACTTAAAATTACTCCTTCATCCCAAAATGTGATTTCCGCTCACTATTCATATGTTCAAATTATAATTATATCTTCCTTTTTTACAAATTTTCCTTGATTGTTTGATATATATTAAAATAGTCAAGTCACTAATTTTGTTGAACTTTTGATATAGTTTTTAAATATATAATTTAGTTAATTCTACACCAATTTTCAAATATATTTAATTGAAAATAATTGTAGTCAAACATCTCATACCGAAATGGGAACCTTACTTTGAAATGTTATTTTACACCCGACTTTGGTTTTCCAGGTCTGGTTTTTGGTCTTTTTTTCTGGCTAAAAGATTTTAGGTCATAACCATAAACACATCTGGTCGGTATTTATTTTATGTACTCCCTTGGATTTATTTTTCACTTTCAAATAAACTCAAATTTAAGAGATGAGTGTAAAATAAACAAACAAAAAAAATGTTCCTTGAAATTTACATGTCCTTCATTAATAGAAACAATGCTAATATTCTCTTTAGGGCGTGTTTTTGATACTTCCCAACAAATTTGTTTATTAAATATGCTAAGTAGACATTTAATTTTGGATGCCCCAAGAATCAAATTTGGAAGGAGAGAGTATGAATTTAGTTTTTTGTAGTACTAATTTATTTAATCTCAAGTGCAATTCAAAAAAAAAAAATCACAACAATGAAAAAAAGTGTTAAAATTTTAACTGCTTAGGGTCATGTCTTGGTGAAGACAGCCTTGTCCCCCCTCACCCCTACCTGCCTAGAATGATAGTGGTGGTGCTATAATTTTGTCAACATAGCTAAAAAAAATCTTGTCATCTTCAATTTGAAATGTACGTTAGCGTCAAAAGCATATTTATTTTGTTCTCTTCAATTAGATTTTTCAAACACAATTGTGTTCGGATTGTTATTACTCGGTAAGAGACAAAGTGTGCCAAAATGCATAATCATTCTTATGCTATTTAGGGTTTACTAGGATTCTTGTTTTTGGGATCAAGGCTTGTTGGTTGTTGCTCTGTTGTACGTAATACAGAGGTATATATAACAATAAAGGAAAAAATCTGAAGGTTTTTATTTGTATAAGCAGAGTGTACTGATGTGTTTGACTAATTAGTCACTTGTGGTTTGTTGACCTAATAGTCAGAGATTTGATGATTTTTTCTTCCATCTCAGCTGGTAGATATTGTAGTAGAGCATGGACCGGATAGTGTGGCTGTACCCGATGAAGTGAAGAAGGAACTAGTGTCGAATTTGCACAACGTGACTTCAACGGTTGAATTTCCCGAGGATTGGGATGGTCCAACTCCAGACCAACTCTTAGTGCAGTTGGCTTCTACCTGGGAAATTGATCTGAAGTAACCTTTGTTGATCTCATCTCATATTGGGATAGCAGCCTCTAAAATGTACACAAAACCATTGTCCTGTCTTTGTCTGTTTACGTTCTTTGTGCGGTATAGTTTTGGCATAGGCATTTGTAAGTAGACAGTGTAATGTTCGTTTTGATGGGATCTCACTGAGCTTGTTATAACTTTGGCTTTGGAGTTTGGATGAAAGTGTCAAATGGATTTTAATCTGTTAGAAACGTGGTAGTGCCACCATGGAAATGAAATGAACAATACATGTAACGAATTGCTGAGCTTAAACTTATAAAATGTGGTGCTTATTCAGAGAAATCTTCTCTAATGAGGGATAATGCCTATTTAGTGTACATGTGAAGCAATTGTGATTCGTTCTTTGCGGACGGAATATTAAATCATGATAGAGAAATGCTAGAATCACATACAAAATACTTACAAAATGTACAAACTTATAAAATATTGAGGTTGAAAAAAGACTAAAATAGGATTTCAATGTTTTTCTTCCCAAAATAAGAGTAAAATGTTGAAAATATACCAAAGAAAGGGAAGAAACGCAGAGTACAGGAAGGAGAAAAAAACGCAAAAATCACGAGTTATGGCCGGAGGGGAGAACAGGTCGATCACGGGGGAGGAGGTGTTATTCCCCTCTATCTTGGTGCTGATGTGACATCAAGGCTCCTCGTCACGGGACTTCACACTGCATCGTGGTAGTTAACTAAGGCTATGTTCCGTTATGAATTTTTGAAGTTCTGATCTAATCTAATTTGATTGATCTGATTTGGTTTGATCTAATTGGATCAAATCTGATCTGATTGGATCTGATATGATCTGATTCGGTCTGATCTGATTGGACCTAATCTGATTGGATCTGATTGAATTTCATTTGATTTGATTGGATCTAATTTACATTAAACTTAAAATTATTAGAAATTTTAATAGTTTTAAAGTGTTACAATTCATATATACATAAACAAGTAAAATAAGAAAATCATTGATATTTTTAAACTTTTTTTTTAAATATTAAACATCTTTGGGAAAAAGACCAAAGTAGGACTAAAACATTGAAAATATACTAAAATAGGACTTCCATGTTTTTATTCTCGAAATAGGACTTACATTACCATACATGGTCATATACATTACCAAAAAAGTATAGTAATTTGCACATATACACTGCCACCTTACAACAGAGCAAAGTCACATTGCTACAGTGCAAAGTCCTATTTCGGAAAAAAACATGAAAGTCCTATTTTGCTACTTTTCTCTATGTTTTAGCCCTATTTAGGGTGATTTCTAAACATTTTTTCAATATCAATACTTTTTTTATTCTTTGTGAAAACTAAATACTCCCTCCGTCCTAGAGTATTTGTCTACTTTCATTTTTACACACCATCCAATGCACTTCTTTAATCCATTTTTTCTTGTAATTTGTATATTAAAAAATTATAGAAATTATATATTAATAATCTATATGTTAAGAAAAATCAAACAAGATCATACATGACTATATTTAGGCTTACACATTGAGAGAATTTGATGAGTCAAAGTGCTTAGATGAACAAGTACAAAAGTCAAAAGTGGACAAAAACTGGGGGGCGGAAGGAGTAATCGGTATTAAAATAATCAAATATTAGAAAATATGGATACTATTATACAAAGATATCATATTCTATATGCATATTAGAGAATAATATATTTCATATTAAAATTTAAAGATCATATAAAATGTTAAATTTTGTCATAAACCCACCTTTGTGTATATTTATGTCATCTTGAAGGTTAAAAGTAAGTCTTTTTAAGTATAAAATACTCATGTTTTTGAAAACTAAGTTTTGTATAATTATTTTATAAATAAGTCTTTTAAAACAACTCTTTTTAAAGTATGAAAAAGTACAACTTTATAAGCTTTAACATTGCTTCTTTGCATCATTCTTATAAGCTAAGTAATTATTAAAATTAATGGTTTGTACGTAGTTGAAATATAATAATAATAATAATAATAATAATATAACAATAATAATAATATTTAAATTATAATGTTTATTAAGATTTAAGTGGGTGTAGCTTTAAATAAAGTAATGTGATTTAATCCAATAATAGTAATTATTATTTAATCCTTGAAAAATATAAATATTATTTTTTTTATATTTTTTCCTAATTTTATTTGATCTGGTCTTATTTGATCTGATTTGATCTGGTCTAATATGATTAGATCTGATTTGATGGAATCTGATCTGATTGGATCTGGTCTGATCTGATTGGATCTGGTCTGATCTAATTGTATCTGATCAGATCTGATTGAATTTGATTTGATCTGATTAGATTTGATCTGATTTTAGCAAGGATAAGTAATAAAAATAAGTCCTACGAAATGGACCCCTAATCAATTAAATTGAATTAAAAATAAAATTAGTCAATACAAGCATTTCTCTTGTTTTAGAAAACAAATTGAATTAAATTTTATACACAGTCCAATAAATTAAACTAAAAATAAAATTGATCAATAAATTAATGTTTTGTTTGTGACACCACATTTCTCTTCTTTTTTAAAGGGAAATTTATTTAAATAATATTAAAACATAATGTGTTTTTTAATGTAGTACCATACGTTTTTATTTTCCAATGTAGCACCATTGGTCATTGTCCACTGATCATTGTTCAAAAAAATCTCCATTGGCACTAAACATTGTTTGAACTAAATGTCCACCATCACCTGATATTGTTCCCGCCACTATGTTTTATTTAAGTATTATTTAGGTAATAAAAAAGTTTAAATAATATATTATAAAATGACATAGACTTTAGTACTTCCTCCGTCCCTAAATAGATTACAATTTTTTTTCTCTCTCCTCTCGATAACTTTTGTTTGTTTACGCAATTTCATTAAATATTTGATAAAATAAAATATTCTTGTCACTTCTTATTTTGTAGAACTTTTGATGTAGTTTTTTAATATGTAATTTTTATATCTTATTGATATACTAATTTGTAAATAAAATGATTTCAAAAAGTAGAAAATTTTACTCGCTGCAATTTGTAATCAAATTGGGGACGGAGAGAGTAGTATTTAACGTAAATTTCACTCTTTAAAAGAAATACTTAAAAAACTTCAAATAGAAAACGTTCCTGCATTCGATAAAAACGGCGCCTACTCGCTAGTCAGTAGTCACTGGTCAGTCTTCAATCCCATTTGCCAAACAAACGGCAGTGGGAGACTTGTGGGAGCCACACCACCTCTGTCCGACCCTTCACTCAACAATGGCGGATTTGATTATGGAGGAAAGAGAAGAGCTCATGGTCTCACCATCAGGTGGAACACCAACTCTAAGAACCGCCCATTTTCTCAACCCCTCAGTAACTTCCCCCGACAGCTCCTCCTCCCTTCCGCAGCGATTCACGGCGGCCGGGAACAAGGTACCGCCGCCGAAGTTTGACTTCCGGGGGTGGAGGATTAACCCACTCAGGGAATGGGGGGAATGGGTCGAATCCATGCGCTCCCTGCACGAACCCCTGTGGAAGAAGGCCGGAATCCGCGACGCCGTGATGAACTCGACCTACAGAATCCACCGGCACGATGAAATTGTTCTCGCTCTCGCCAGAAAATGGAACCCGGAGACCAACACGTTCCTGTTTCCGTGGGGAGAAGCCTCTCTCTCCTTGGAGGACATGATCGTCTTGGGAGGCTTCTCTGTTTTGGGCTGCTGTGTTCATTCCGATTCAAACCCTAGAGACCGAAATATTGAAGGGATCAAAAAGAAATTACTCAAAGCTCGATCCGAGCTAAACATGTCTAAATCAAAGAAACCCACCCAAATTGGTTGGATGGTCAAGTTCATGAACAACAAGGAATGCGGAATAGAGCACGAGGCCTTCCTTGTGCTCTGGTTGGAGCGGTTTGTTTTCCCTGTCTCCACGCAAGACACAATTGGCACAAAGTTTTTGGACATTGCCATTCGACTAACCCAAGGCCAGAGAATAGCCCTTGCCCCGGCCGTCTTGGCTATTATTTACAAGAACTTGACAATCATGAAGAAGGCTCTTGGTGGAGTTGGTAGTGACAACACCCAGAATTGTTGCGCGATTTTGGCCCCATTCCGGCTGGTGCTGGTATGGGTTTGGGAGAGGTTCCCTTATTTTTTGCACCCAAACAATCCCATTTCTGATAAGCCGAGGTTCGCAAGGTGGGATGATCTTAAGATGGATGCAAAGAGTACAGACTTTGCAGGAGAGGAATATCTGTGGCGGCCATACGCGTTGGGGGCCAAAAACTCACTTCTTCTATACAAGGAGGGAGAAGGACGTTGGGTTTTTGTCCCCGGTGGTGGGGATGAAGTGGACGAACTCATTCGCTGTGTGAGGGTGAGTGAGCTGGTGGGGATAGAGGGTGTCATTGAGCAGTACCTGCCTCACCGTGTGGCTATGCAGTTTGGAATGGATCAGGATCATCCCGGGCTCGTGGCGCGAGCGGATGGATCTCCTGAAATTGCTTGGAACTTCTTCTCGAGGCCCGTCTTGGACATGAAACTCTGGGTTCCCCCGCGGTTGTTTGAGTCCGATGTTACCACTCGGTACTTGGATTGGTTCTCTAAAACTGTTAATGTTCCTGATGATGGTGATAGTTATGATGATGATGATGTGCCTCTGGCTGAACTTGTAAGGAAGGAGGGAAAAATGGATGAGAATACTCGTCTTCTTGATGATGATGATGGTGTTTCCCTGGCTGAGCTTCTTCGGAAGAGAAGAAAGAAGGATGTTAATAAAAGCCATATCGATGGAGAAACTGGGATGGGGCATGTGGAAGAAGCAGAGAAGAATGGAAGAATTGGGGACAACTCTCAAATGATTCAAGATGATGATGATGATAAGGGGGAGGAGGAGGAGAAGGCATTTGGGGAGGGTTTTGACAGAGAGAACAATGGCAGAGGAGAATGTGATGCTACTACTACTGCTAGGACTAGAACTGAAGCCCCCGAGGCCGGAGGTTGCGAGAGTCCGTGGCGAACGAGGGCTCGAGGACTGGAAATGAGGATTAGGAATCTGCAGAGATTGGTTGGGTTGATGAAAAACCGAGACAGATAGAGATCACCTGTGATAGTCTCTGGAGATTGGTTGCTTTGGTGAAACTAAATGAATCATAATTTGTTGTTGTAAGTTTGCACTTGCTTGGTTGAAATGAACACACAGCCCAAACTGTACATTAATTGTTGTTGTAACTTTGGACTTGCTTGGCTGGGCATCCAACCAACCGTACATAGTTTCGCTGTTTTTTTTAACCCGTCTCATGAATAACTATTATTACCTGCATCGAACTTATTTCCAACAAGAAACAAAAAAAAAATGGCCGAAGGATGAAGGCTCAGGTCTAAAGGGGAAGAGTTACCTATCAGGGCAAAAAGAAAAATTGTCAAGGACCTACCAATGACAAAGAAAATCAAAATAAAGAATGAATAAAAGAAATGGGAAGCAAACAGAGAAGAAGGAAAAAAGACTCCCTCTCCTCTCACTACTGGCGGAAGAATGAGGAACAACCCAATTGAACTCAACCATCTCAAAATACCTTCTCCCTATTGAAAACAAATACTCAATTTTCACATCTATAAAAGGAGACAGAGAGAGAACGGAAACGGAGAGGAGACAAATCGGAGCAGAGTAGAGAAGAACCGGCCTAGGGTTCCGACCCTAGGTCCGGCGACGGCAAGGTCCGGCGTGGCGATGACTCCGGCGATCATGGCTTCAGGCTCCGGTGAGGCACTCTGGCGGCATCAGGTCCTGTGCGGCAGCAAACGGAAACAGAAACTCAGGGAGCATTTTTGTTCTACTTTTTTTAGGCTTATTTTAATAGAAGGTACCCAACTTTGAAGGTTTTAACAAAAAGGTATCCATCTTACGTTTGTAACAAAAAGGTACCACATCTTTCAAATCTATAACAAAATCATACCCCTTCATCGGAATTGATACAATCCGGCGAATTTTTTTATTATATTTGGTACCTTTTTGTTATAGATTTGAAAGATGGGGTACCTTTTTGTTACAAATGTAAGATGAGATACCTTTTTGTTACAATCTTCAAAGTTGGGGTATCTTCTGTGAAAAAAGCCACTTTTTTTAAAACTTTATGTCTTTTTGTTGATAAGGATTCCATATTTATTTATTGTCAATCTATGAGTATGAACTTCCCTTCTCTAAATATATACTTGGTACGTCCTTGAGTGTTTGTCCACTTTTGACTTTTGGAATTGTTCATCTAAGCACTTTGACTCATCAAATTCTCTCAATGTGTAAGCCTAAAAATAGTCATGTGTGATCTTGTTTGATTCGTCTTAACATATAGATTATTAATATACTCCGTATAATTTTTATAATTTTTTAATATACAAATTACAAGATAAAATGGATTAAAGAAGTGCATTGGATGGTGTGCAAAAATGAAAGTGGACAAACACTCAGGGACGGAGGGAGTAAATAGTAAATTTGTGTATTTTGTGACCAAAATGTTTGTGACTCTAGCAATTCTCTATTGGTATGTTTGGGAACATAGATTTGGATTTCAAATCTGAATTTGGCTTAAATTCCATGTTTGGGAAATTTAAGCATTTTGAATTTGGATTTGAATTAAATTCTTTACATTCAAAACCAAGCTTAATTTGAAATTCATGCACCTCCCTTTGTCATTTGAAATTCAATATTTTAAATTTTGGAATTGAAATGCATGAATTGAAATGAAATGCTAGTTGCCAAACACTACCTATATGAATTGATTAGGTTACCATACAATCTGAACTAGTGGGAGGTGGAAGAGGTAGTCCTTGGGAGTTCGACTGCAGCAGAGATGCAGCCATAAAAAACATACTCCCTCCGTCCAACAATTATCTTCTCACTTTCCTTTTTGGTCTGTCCACAAATTATCTTCCCATTTCCTTTTTTGGCAAAGAATGAATACTAAAAAGTCGGTTTTACCCTTGTGCCTCAAATTAGTTTTCTCGCTCAGTCATCCAAGTTCCCAACTGATTCTCTCACCCCCTCCCTTCTTCCTTCGTCCTATATTTTGTTCTTAGCCATTTTCTTCCTCCTTCCCCTCTTAGCCATCTTCTTCATCGGCCATCGCTTCCATCTTCTTCTTCCACCGCCATCTCCTTTCCCATCCGCCATCTTCTTTCTCCTCTGGCTTCGTCTTTCTCCTTCGCCCCCACTGTAGCAATAAAGTTGGAGTGCCTCACTGTGCAGTGAATCTGAACAAAACCCATTTCATTCCTGTGGGATCTCAAAGATTTGAAAAGAAATAATCTCATCTCTGCTAGATCTGACTTATCCTCCCTTTGCTCATCCAATTTCGTCTACTTATCTGCTGCCGTAAAATCGCCGCTACAGTGTTGCTTTGAAAAATAAATTGGAGTTCAATTTTTCATTTTTTGATAGAAATCTTATGTTTAATTTTGAAGTCTTCCTCGTTGGTATTGGACTTTGTTTCTTCAAATCAAAACTCTGCTTTAATTGTTAGAATTAGAGTTCGTTGTTGTACAGGCCAATGGGATGAGGGGGTAAAATGGGAAAGTCAATGCCATTTACGTATTTTCTTAATATGCGTGCCCGGTCCAAATGGGAAGATAAATATTGGACAAAGGGAGTATTAATCAGCTCCGGCGTAGTAATAGATGCCATCACTTTTACTCCCATCAATCGTAAAACCAAACAAGTCATTGCCACCCAGAAGTGGTAATGGTGGCCACACAAGTAGGGTAAAGTCATATACACTACTATTCATTCTTACAAAAAAAACATTGGTTTTATACGTACTCCATGTTAAGTAGGTAAAAAGAGGAAATCTTTTGTTCTAAAAAATTATTCATCAGTAATTTTAGGTAAAAGATGACTATTATATTTAAAAAATAGGATTACCTACTATGCAATATTAGTTTTTTTCTTTATTAATTTCAGTTTATTTTATATTTTATAGATTGATATTGATTGGCCAGAAGAAAAATTGGTGATGATTAGTGGAACTACAGGTTCAGGTCATCCGTACCACATTGTAACTGCGGATGGACCAAAAGATATATGTCTCATTGCGTCTCTAGCTTTCCATACTAACAAGAGAAAGTATGGTTCTTATGGTAATGGACAAGGCACGACTTTATTTAAAATCCCGATAGAGGGTGAAATTGTTGGGTTTTTTTGGACGCGCCGGTTTGTTCATTGATGCTATAGGTGTTTATAGCTATGTTTGGTAGAATTTTTTTAGAGCTTTTTAAATATTACGGAGTATGATTTAGTCTCCATATTATAACATGATCTAGCTTTCTTTTGTGAATATTGTATTTATGTAGTACGATTCCTACCATATATAGCCCCGGGAATCCACATTATATATTCACCTCTTGTAAACACTTCTTGATTATTATCGAATATACGTAATTCTTCATGGCGCCATCAGAGCCGTATTAATTTTTGTTAATTACGCCGACCATCTTTCCCCTTGGTAGTCTCTCCCTTTCTCCTGTCGTGCATCCCCGGCGGCTCTCTCTCACCCTCCCTTGCCGACGGCTCCCCCCTTCACTATGGCCGACACCTCTTTTACAACCACCACCACGCTTGCCTCCACCAATCCCCCCCAATTCACCCCATCTTGCTTTTATGGCAATCTCCAATATCAAACTTCATATTCCGATTCAACTTAGTATATCAGAACCAAACTACAAAAATGGACCCGACTATTTCTCCTATACGATACTTCAACCTTCATGGCTAACTCTCCGATGATACAATGCCGACCGGAGCCGAAGACATAGAATGGGTTCAATTTTCCAAGGATAGATTCTCTCCACTATCTCCAATGAAGTTTCAGATCTGATCCTCACCTCTTAATTTACTATTGTCGATTTGTGGAAAGGGATTTACCACTTCTTCCATGACAACATGGCGGCTCGTGCTATGCAGCTTGAGCAACATTTGCGGACGACCACCAAAGGCACCAAATCCATGGCGCATTATTGTCAAACATTGAAAAATCTTGCAGATTGTCTTGAAGATGTAAATGCCCTGGTCATAGAACGAGCGCTGGTTCTTCAACTTCTTTAAGGCCTTCCCCAAAATCTCCGAGCACATGTCACCTTTCTTCAATATAAGTCCCGTTCCTGACATTCCTCAAAGCCCAAACTGACGTCCTTCTCATCGAACAAGACCAAACAGACTTGGACACCACTGATGCGGGACCCATGGCTCTGGTTGCTGCTAGTTATTAGACAAAAGTGCAAATCATGAATAGAGTTGTTCGGTAGAATGTGCATTTATCGCGTGTGTGATAATAAAAGAAAATCGTAGGAAATAATAAAGAGCAGGGGAAAGGAGTACACCGTGATTTATACTGGTTCACCACCTCGTGACTAATCGAGTCATCTGAGAGACTCTCTCAAAGGTCCTACTAAACTTCAAGCTACAACGGGTGCTTGAAAAACCGATACAACTCGAGAACTTGAATCACACAAGCCTCAACTTCTTATAACAAGACTTGAGTCGTCACACAAGTCTTAACAACAACAAGACTTGAATCACACAAATTTTAGCAACACTCAAACAAGATTGAGTTTACATCACAGAAATGAAAGTTCACACAATTGAGCAAGTAGTGTTTGAAAGATTAAAGCTCTTTAGATGACAAGATCTTTAGCACTCAATACAAATATTTCCAACTCTCAAAATAATGTATTTGATAAAAAAAGATGGAAGCAAGATTTGAATGAGGAGCAATCGAATAGTGGAGTGCAAGAAGATGTACTACCTCCGTCCCAGAGTATTTGTCTACTTTCATTTTTACACACCATCCTATACACTTCTTTAATCCATTTTATCTTGTAATTTGTATATTAAAAAATTATAGAAATTATATATTAATAATCTATATGTTAAGACAAATCAAACAAGATCACACATGACTATATTTAGCCTTACACATTGAGAGAATTTGATGAGTCAAAGTACTTAGATGAACAGTTCCAAAAGTCAAAACTGGACGAATACTCCAGGACGGAGGGAGTATTTGATATGAAGGGGAACGAGGGATTATATAGGGTGAAGGAAATAAATCCGTTGGAGCCAATGAAGGAATCTATGAAATGGCACCAGATAATATTAATCAATTAAAATAAAAGGGTTAGTTGGAGCTAATCGATTAAAGCAATGGGAAGAAATCGATTAGATCAAAGCCTGAGAAGTCCTTCGCTAGACAGGAGAAATTAATCTATTAGAGGAAAGTCTTTTAATCGATTAGCCAAAAAAGCTGGGTAAGCAATTGAAGATAACGCATAACTAATCGATTAAATGAAGAAGATTAATTGATTAGAAGTG